GTACCTCTTAGCTCTTAGAAGGAAGAAATTCAATTTAATCACTCTTTTCAAAATCTTCTGTGGGTACTCCTTAATAAAAATAAGTTTCCTTGAAGTTAGGAATCCGCTCAAGAGGGGGAAATATTGAGTATGAGTAGCAAAACGGAATGTTAGGTGCCATTTCTTCGTGAACAGAGCCTGTTCGGAGTTTGAAAAATGCCCAAATTGGGAGTTCCTACTGGTAAGTTAAGCTCTCTCAAAACAGGCTTGGAAAAGTGTTTAACTTCTTGGCACTTTTGCTTCTTTTTATGTGTATGTTGTTATAGGTGCTAATTAGAAGTTCTTTCTTAAATTACTTCATATCTATTCCTTTTTCCGTGGGTTTTTTGTCCGCTTTTATTTTTTTTCAATATGGGGTTATACCTACGTAATAAACAAGTGCAAGTATCGAGGAGTCTTAGTGTTCCACAGCATCCTGCTGGCTCTTTTCAACATAGCTCAAATTGATTCTCACTTTCTATGCCATCCATGGGGAATAAGTCAAGAAAACTGTTGACGTGAGTAGAAATAAATTCCTTTATCAAGTGACCTCATATGTATCTGAAGTTCAGCAAGTGGGCACGGAATTATCAAAAGAGTTTACTGATAACGAATGAAAATTCCAAATAACACCCCTGAATCTTCATTCCAATGATAGTAAAGCGAATTGACGACTTTCTGTACAAAAAGCAACTCCATTGTCAACGCCTCGATTAAAGGAGGAATTCACGATAAGAACGAAGGTCAAAGAAGGGAAAATTGCATAGTTGGGAGACAGGCGGACCTCCTGAGGGTGCTGACCGACGCGCAATTGGCAGCGAAAGATTTGACCTCGGCGATCTAGCATGGCTCACTCTTGGCGCGGTTGGCGGGGTACGCCCACCGACTATCTAATCACTCGCCGCAGGTCTATACGTGGCGAGTGATTAGATAGCAGAGAGAGCGTAGTGTTGAAGAGGGCACAGCGATGAGAGTCGCATCAATGCGCAAATCAACGGGCAAGGAAGGGGTCCCATTTCTCGGGCCGTTTCAATGGTTTCTTCTTCATCCCTGCTCCACTGACCACCTCTACCCTTATTTCCAATGAGCTAACTTTTCATCGTGAATTCTGCCTTTAATGGGTTCCAGTCTTGACTGAATAATACACACAAACGCCAACTGCAGGCATCGTTATTGGCTATTAGAAGTTATTGTATAGGTCATACATGTCACACACAAATGGCACTTTTATTCTGAATAAAAGTGAAATGGATGGCGCGTTCCACCAAAGGATTGGCATATACTGCTATTCTTATTACCCACTAGCTTCATTTTTCTGGATCATTCCTCACATACTTTTGCCATACTCTTTTCTTCTTCCAGTATTTGGAATTAATGTTCGACAAATTTAAAGTCATATTTCGTTTTTCGTGTTCACACAAAGCAATTTTGATAGAAAGCCTACCGTATGCCTACAGTATCTCATTTTCAGTACTTTATCTATGAATCACGTATGACGCTTACAAATTTACTATTATGCGATACGCATCATTTCTACTATTCCATATAGGACATCTCTGCCATAATGCGATTGCAGATAACGGTAAGTGTTTACTATTATTATTATTATTATTATTATTATTATTATTATTATTATTATTATTATTATTATTATTATTATTATTATTATTATTATTATTATTATTATTATTATTATTATTATTATTATTATTATTATTATTATTATTATTATTATTTATTATTATTATTATTATTATTATTATTATTATTATTATTATTATTATTATTATTATTATTTAATGTTTCTTTTGATAATGGAAATGTTCTGAAATATTGGTCAATAGTTGTAGATGGTAATGATACTATGAAGTAGTACAGTAACGGATAACAGCCAATATCTATAAAAAAATTGTCGAGAGCAATTAAAGGTAGATCACGATGGCTGGTGGGCGGAGCGGTTTTGATTACGTCATTGAACCTCTCCCATTGGCACAATATCCTCAGCGAGGGCTGTGGTAGGGTCCGCCTCCTGACGTACTTTCACCAACGGCGTTCAATGACGTCATCAAATCCGCAACGGCCTCCACCCATCGTGATCACTGCCTTTAAGCCTGGAGATCTAAGTATTACACGTTGCGGGTTCGTGGGTTGCTTGATGTAGCTCGGTAGTACTTTTGGTACTTTTTCTTATCAGTGACTGTTAACTCATCGATAACTCGTTAAGGTTCTAGTGAAATGGTTGTTTTCCGAACCTGAATACTATTTTTGGGAATGTGAAAATTTTTTGGATACGTTGAACAAACGACCCTTGCTTGGTAACTCCGTGGTGTACCATGTGCATCACGCGGTCCTCAATGGATTGATTGATTTTGTTGTGAAGGATTAAATTGAAAATATCAAATCTGTCGTGCAGCTACAAGAAGTTGTCGTTGTATGTCTTATCCTGGCCCACACATAGAGGGATAGTTGGAGCGTGCACAGGATCACTCGGACATTGGAACTGGTTACCAGTTGTTACAGACAGTTGCAGATCTGGTTCTGTGATGCTTTGTTCTCCATCACATCCGATGTGTCTTGCGGATGACCACTTTTTCATCGGCAACTGGGAAACCTGCTAGTACAAGCGACTAACTGCAAGGACCCCCGGGATATATAATGGTTACACCAGTCTTTCAGATCACTATTCGGTTGGTTACGGACGCGATTCTGAGCGGGAATCTGAACCAAAGATTGTTTTCTTTTTATTGAACTTATTGAAAAGAGTGACGCGTAGGTCTCGTAAAAGTTGTTTATTCAGGAAATTGCTTCAAGATTGGCCAAACTTTCCATCGAGTTTCTCTTTGAATGTCAATTTTACACTGGAGTGGATGTGAATGTGATCAGTATTTATCCCTGTTCTTTGGAGGGCATCAGGAGTTTTGCTAGGCTAGATCACAGCTGAAGCGACACCGCGCGGCTAATCAAACGGAAGAAGACTCGGAGACTTGAGAGAACGAATTAGGAACGGGTCAAGATCGCAGACATAACCGCAACATCTGCATTGTGTGCGTGCATAGCACTTCAAAGCATCACATCTTGCCCGTTATGTTTTATATATGCGGACTCAGCTCTGAATGAGATTTAAAGTTCCCGGTATCACGAATTAGTTAGATTTGAAGAAAGGGAATGGCCTATTGACAAAGGTACGACTGCTACATAATGTGTAAACTTATCTTCGAACTTCTCTTTTCATTCCACCCTATTTTTGCTAAGTGATCTGATTTTTATCCTCATCAATAAATGCAGCTCCCTCCCGCAGGCAACTTTATTAAAGTGTTATGTTGCTTTTTTGCGATATCGTAGATCTGCTTTTTCTGAGTTTGTCACAGTTCAGTTGGTATAGCTAATAGAATGCAGATAATAAAGTCATAATGATGAAAATAAATGCAGCAGCCTGTTTTTATCTGTTCTTCGTTGTTATGAAATATATTAGGTCGGTCCATAATTTTTGAGAACCTTTGGTGTTTTTCGATTTAATTACTTATCTTATTTCTCTGATGTACTTATTCAGCATAGTATACATCACCATTATTACCAACATATAACCAATGCGAGGGTGGGTATTCAGTGTCCCTCTTGTAGAATTTCATAGAGTTCTGATCGAAGAAATATTGGATGTCGATTTTGACTTTATGGTGATTCAAGTGAGATTTCTTCTCCAGAAGGTGATTGAGAGAGGAGAGCGGATAGTCGTTCGTTGACGCAGGATTAGTGCTACAAGGCGGAGCTAAAAGAACTGACCGCCCGAGAGTCTTAGCAAGTGGAACTCGAATACGCTCCAGAGAAAAATAGATTTTGTCTTCCTTTGCTTTCAAGTTGTTGAAGGCGTTGCCATCAAGCTGTCAACGATTCTTCCCATCACTGACACTGGTATTAGTTGATGCCGGTCTTCAGCGCAAAGGCCCTCCGTATTGCGCCAACGACTCAGGAAGTTCGAATTCAGAGGGAGTTGGGTTTGTACTGTCAGAACTCCCGAATCGTTTGAGCAAATCTACTGCGGCTCGTGGATTTGTTAGCACATTGCACCCAGTCCACATCACCAATGAGTATTATAGATGGTCATCCGAAGGAACTATGGGAAACCAACAGGAACTTGATGATGTCAGATTGGGTTGAGAACTGATTCGGGACTACAATTTTCCTTCGATCAGAACTCTATGAAAGTCCACAATAGAGGCACTGAATACCCACCCTCGCATTGGTGATATGTTGTTAATAATAATGATGTATACTATGCTGGATAAGTAGATCAGAGAAATAAGATAAGTAATAAATCGAAAAACACCAAAGGTTCTCAAAAATTGTGGACCGACCTAATATTAAGACAAAGAACATAATTTTCACTTGAATTTTTCCATTTTTATATTTTTATGACTTTTGATGTTATTGTTTCTGATTAGGAATTTAATCTGTATAAATTTGCGTATTCAGATTCGTCCAGTTCCGTCAACACGCTCGCCATGCGTTGATTTATTGTCCGCTAGGACTAAACGTACTACAAGGTTACGTGCTGTCGAGGTGGTGCGCCTATCGCCGAAAATCCTGAGGTATACCTTTATGGTGTTTTTCAGGTGATCCGATCGAAAATGCTAGTCGTTTAGTTGATCTCCAATTGGACACAAAAGGCGTCCGACTACGCCGTTGATGAGCGTGCCGGTGACGATGCCGACGATCACTGTCGAGTGTTTGAGGTAAGGACCTTCCATAGGTCGCTATACCAGTTCCATGAAATGAAAACTTGGTTCAATACTAGTTGGGTGGGCACGCCGATTTTTTGGATACGGTAGGCGCGAAATGTGTGTACATGTACATAAGTACTGCTGCCCATGCTATGATATGACAAGACGCTATGGAGTGACCCACACAGTTCAGCTTTTCACACATGTCAAGTGACTGCCCCTCCCCTGAATTGGCTCTACTCCCCATGGCTCACGAATTCCTCAATTCTCGCGACGCCATAGCAGCGGGCAGCAGTCCCCACACTACATACATTTTGTGCCTACCGTATTCATGAAAATCGGCGTGCCCATCCCACTTGCATTGCACCGAAACTTTTAGTTCACTTGCAGATGCTTAATACTTGATTTTTAGGGCTCCTTTCTGCTCTCAGCGACAGCTCTGTTCAACTTCAGTTTCAGTGGCTATGGAGTCCGCTGTAGTTGCCCAGGTGAGATTAAGAAAGATTAGATGACTTCAAAAATCAACTAGTACTTCTTGAAAATATAATTTATCGAATGAATTACAGAGACGGTTGACGTGCTGGATAGGCATTGTCGAAAGTTGGCGCCGTGCCAAAACAATGGGTATCGGTCGCAATCGTTAGGCATGATCTGCGCATGCAGTGAGCCATATTTTGGCGAGTTATGCGACAAAATCTGTGATCAGGGTCAGATTCTGAAAGGTTGGTTTTTTGGTTCGAATATTTCTTCAAGCCTTTCGGCTCTATACAAGAAGGGTGGGCACGCCCAGTTTTCCACGCATGTCAAAGTGTCCCTGGCTATACTCACTACCTTCACCTCCCACCCCCTAGATTGGCTACACTGCCTTCTTTTAAGTGTCACAGTGCAGCGCTAAATTTCAAATAAGTATAGCCAGGGACACTTTGGCCAGTGTCAGAGATCGCGAATCGCGCGATTCGCGCGAATCACAGAAATCACAAGCGCCTCATGGAAGGTGAAGATGCATTGTATAGCGACTGTATATTCCTACTTTGCTCATATTCAGATCTCAAATTGTCCAAATAGGAGCACTGCGATTTTGACGAATCGCGCAAGACGTGTTCGCGGATTACCCAGCATTACCTCTTCAGATTGACTCCTGTTATAACGAGAGCTATATTAGGTACCGGATATCTTAATGTCGTTTTTTCACCAAGAGTATTGGACCAGCAATATTTCAGTTCAAAACCCGGGGAGGGAGTTAGTTTAATCATAAAATGACTTACTAGGATCCCCTCATCTAACAGTTAGAGTGGCAACCTTGCACGATCCAAGCTCGGAATTTTTTGAGTTAAAAAGTAGAGGCAGGTCCAAATAGGCGCTTTGACATCCTCTGATAAATCATCCCTGTTACTTGCTTAAAAGTAAGGCCTGGACAAAGTAAGTGTACAGCTGGTTAGCGTAGGGTCTGCATTGCACGACAGAAAAATTAGAACTTATCAGCCTAAGCGGGCAGTTTTTTATGGAGACTTTTTTGCAACATAGGGTCAAAAACGCACCCTTTTTGAGCGCGCGTGAGAGGGCAGGTGAGCACATTTATCAGAATATCTTGCGGAATCAAATCCATAGGAATGTTTGCGCATCATCATTCCATCAGAGTGAAAGTATCCTACCATTTCAGCACAAGTCTGGTGCAGCCCCTTCTCAGCTGGCTTAACTAGGGCCATCTTTTTGAAGACGATTGCCGGCATCCTTTCAAAAACTTCACTGTCTTTTAGGAAACCTGAGGAGAACCGTTGAGCATTCCAAACGGTAGTATTCCTTCCAACAAAAGCAATGTTAGTTTGGTTGGCGGATCTGTAGCTCCCAGCCCGACTTTGATGGCATTTGGTACACACATACGAATTTGCGCAATGAACCCAGGAATTTTCAGAAAAAGGTATAAAAATTGGGGGAGAGATAAATTGTAAAGTAACAATAGGGACTAATAAGCAACATGTTACGTAGTATTAATAAGCAAAGAGAACGTTCTGAGAAACTGATTTTTCATGGTAATTGGCCCCGAAACATCCTGAACTCAGAAAAACGACATTAAGATATCCGGTACCTAATAGTATAGCATCAATGCCAACTGCAACTAAGTCGTATTTAGGAGTCGACGGGTGCCATTTAACTGTATTAGTTCACGTTCGAGCAAGGTGAACAAATGCACGACAGGGTGTGCTCTAAGGAGTCAGTGAAAAATCAAAATTTTTCAGTGAAAGTTGCCCAGTTAAGTAGTATTTTTTTGTAAGGAGTGGAAATGCAATGAGGTGCACCGTGCCCGCCTACGTTTGTCGGCTCATCTATGGTGAGATCGACGCTAAATCGAAAATATTAAACAGAACACGGTTCAAGATTCGACGAGCGCAAGTGCTCTTTCATATTATGGGTATAATTCGGTTAGAGTGATTAGTTCGTATCTAGATGACCAGTGTATTGCGGAGCTAAAACAAACGCTCTGGAAACCTACGTTATTTAGAAACCTACGGTTATTTGACCCGCACTATTTTTACCCTTAGCGCATATACAAGATTTCACCATTAGTCGGCGTTCTGCAAGGTGCAGCCTGCTCTGCGTCATGTCATAAGTAGACGGCGTCGACAGCTAGGGATGCGGCTGAGCAGCATTGAAAGGCGGAGCTAGAAATCTGTGGGGAATATGAAGGTTATTATCGTATCAATCATGTTCCTGCGATTAATTGCACCGACAATTCGACAAGATGGAAGTTCTTGTGGAGCTTTTACCAGCACCGTCTTCCGCAGATCATCAAGTTCTCTGAAAGCTTCTGGACAATGATCAATGCGAAACACACGTTTGGGCTTTTGCATCAGTCACTTCAAAATAGATGCGCGATTTAGCCAGTAGGTGCGATCTTATGCCGTGAAGGGAGCCCCTTAGTCCTCAAAATCGTCTACTGTTGCGGCGTGTTATTGTGCTTCTGACAAAAGCGACTCTGCACTAGACAGAAAAAAGCCAGCCAAATAGCATGATTTCTCCTTTTAATTGAATTGATATTCTAGAAAACCCCTTTCAACCAACAATTGTTCACCGTGACATAAGCGGCACCGTCTTCGGTGGTGATATCATTTGTTGTTCGGTGGTGTCTACTGTTATTTTTGTCCTGAACATAATCAGAGTATACACGCATTCATGGCAACGCCACCACGCCCCAATGAAAATTTTTTTGCGTTTTTCGCATAGTAACTTTGGGATGGCTTCAATTACTGGATTTTATCATGTTGTATCCTTCAAGGTCCAGTCGCGCTTCACCGCATCGCGACGCGACGAAATGGCCGAGCGGCCCGCCATATACCGGTATTTAACACCGAGAGAGGGAGAAAATCCGTTGTTGCACACCAGATTGGACTGTACGAAGTAGGCCATTTGTCGCTGCGCTTGACGAGGCCACCCGTAGGTGCTGCAACCTATGCGAGTACTGTGACAATAATTTATGGGTTATGAAGTTGCATTGAAAACAATAGATTGCAACGATATAAGATTTAATGCTTTAAAAATGGCAATCAGAGTGTTCCGAAAACAAACAAGGAATGTTTAATATAGTGTATCATTTTTTCATGTTTATTTATTTCTTATTTTATGAGGTTATTGATTTTTAAACCGTTTTGTTAGCGCGGAATGCGACAATGACATCCTTCCACCGCTCCCTTCGTATGAGGATGCTACAAAGGACGCACCCATAAGGTAACCGATATTAATTATCAACAATTGATATAAGAGCAACCGATAATACTACGTGCTCTTATTTCAGCTACATAGCAAGAAGAAACACCTAGATAAAGTAGAATCATGAAGTCGAAATAGGCAGAATAAACAACTCTGATAAAGTAGGCCTCCAGTGAAGTCGGTTTCACTTATCCAGTCACTTGTCCTATTCTTAGACCACATAGGCGAGCGGTCGCGTCGCGGCCACAGTTACGCAACATGCTGTGCAACAATAGAAATATGCAACTTTTAACACTTTTGTGGTCCGTAGAAGTTCGAGTGACCCACGGCTCTTTCACACAAGTGTTTCGATTGCAAAGGCGTGCGTATGCGAAGCGGCTCATTCATTTATTTCATTTATTGATTACATTTGAGCCGTTTCACAGCCGCAAGAGTTGAAGGGAAAAGAAATGGCATACCATTTGCAAATAATTTGATGCGACATCTTTTCTAGTCGCTTTTTGATTTCCAAGCGGGCAACCGCTTCGCGACCGCACGCGTCACGTTCCATGAATTGCATTGCCGACTTATACAGCGATGATAGAACTCATTATTTGTAGGAGGACGTTTGTCCTAATAGTCAAATTTATTACATTTAGGCTCTCACCAGCCGTTGAGCCATCAGTACCGATTCGGGTAACGGTTCAACCCATGGGACCGTCATCAAGCAGCACAGATCCTCAGATGTGGGATCCGCTCAGCCGTCCTGAGATACCGGGTGAAGATGACGTGGTCCATGAGACCCCGATAATCTCTCGGGTAGTGTCGTCAAGACGGAGTCTATAGAAAATATCAAACTACTAGTGAATATACATGAACATTCCTCCATTTCCCTCTGAACACTTGCCATAATCGTCTGTGTTACAGGATTATTGATTTTTCATTGTAGTAAAAAGTAATTTTTGAATCGATTCAAGTTGTACATTCATTTTTTCCAGTCTGTCATCGCTAGGAATAATTCCTTTCAGGTCGCTTCAGCTTTCATTTGCCATGTTGTGTTGCCGATTTGTTTTTCATAGAATGCATTAGAGATTGATCTATAGATTTTCCGCCTTCTAATGTTGCACATGCATTTCGTTATTGATCGTCATTGCTCAATCAATATATGATCTTTCTTATCAGAAATAAATATCTATCATCGATTTGTTTAGTATGAAATTGTGAAAATTCTCATTTTTTGACAATCAATGGGTTTTCCGGCAGGGATAGCCGAGTGGTTAAGAGGTTAGACTCATGTCTGCACCTCTGAAAACCGCGAGTTCGATCCCTGCCGAGGCTTAACCATGCCTTGCAAAAATTGCAAAAATGGTTCTAGTACCAGCGTCAGGCCCAGGTTGACAGGCCGGCTGATGAAGACCCCAGTCACACCAACCATGTCTAAAAGCCCTTCCTTGCGTCGTTATTCGAAACCTTATTCTACGTCTACCATATGGGAGGGGCGAAAACTCTCGAGTGCAGGACAAGCCAGTTGTCCTCCAGGGGCTCAGATTGTGTGTGGTCACAATTATTCTCAAATTCGGTCAGAACCGGCTAACAGTTTTGTTCCACCAATGGAAATAATCGCGATTGGAATCAAGAATGTGTAGCTCGAAAATATGGTCCTTAGAGCAACCTCCTCCCTAAAAAATCGTCAAATTGTCTGAGTACATATGTGTCCCACTTCTATTTTGTACACGGGCGTATCTGAGATGCACTAACTGAAAAATGCGATAGCGTTTGAAAATACAGAGTCTTTTTTGTTCTTTTAAATCTACTTTGAAGAACCTGGAGGTGTTTAGTTCGACGATTGACGAATGTGATTCTCGAAAAAATTCCAGCCTGCACGTTCACTGATATCAAAAATTTCCTGTTTCAAACTGCTAGGTAAGGCATCAGCTGGGTGCAGGCCTTACTCGAATGCCTAGGGCGAGACAGCGGTATCAGCAAGGGGTCACTGCGATTTTATTTAATTATGGCTCCCTCTTGGCTTTAAGCGGACGCCCGTACGCAGCCCCTAGAGCTGCACTCGTGAAATGCCTGTGGAGCCAGGGAAACGCCTTTGCCCGTATGTGAAGGTTCCTTAGTCTATGGACAATTTATCTAAAGCGATATCGTACGATAGTAGAATAGCAATTCTTAAAATGTATTAAACCTGCACGGGACAGGGAAAAATGACTTCCCCAAAATTAACACAGAATAGTTCAAAAAACTTGTGATCTTCTTGATCAAAAGCAATGTCAGAAGCAAAACCATGAAAAAGTTCGTGCCATCGACGCGCCATGCATTCTAGTTACATTCAGAATCTTGGTGGCATTTGAATGTAGTTTGGTCTTCACAATTGCTTGCTGTTCCAGCCAATGTACGCTACTGCTTTTATCTCTTATAATTTGCTTTATTTCGTTTTATATTATTTATTTATTTTTTTCCGGACAAGCATCCATATTTCAAATTAATCGAGCTCTAAAAGGTAGAAGATTCTGTCGGCATTGGCGACATCGCCTTTGCTAAGCGGCGCCACTTAGCACAATATGGCTCTTGGCTTCATCCTTTTACTTTTTACATAAGGGCAAAATTCAGAGCAATTTTCTAATTATGTCACGAATGTGTAACGTGAGCTGCGAAAAGGTTGTGCTTGCTTTAGAAAGGTCTAAATTCATAAAGAATGATTGTTGCAGTTCCATGGTGCTCTCCCGAGGTATCTGTCGCGAATCGCAAAGATCACTCCTAAAACCTTTTGGATGCATCGGTGCCTGCGAGTATCTGTAGACATGACCCAGCCTGATCTACTAACACTGATCGCGGTAGTGGGCGCACGACGCGGTCGGAACCGCAATCACTCACGGGCCTGGCTCGATGTTCCATCCTCGGCTTCTGGTTATCTCGTCAGACTCGCATGATTGAGCCTTCGGAACTCCATACTTGCAAACTTCAACACCATCGTCAAGCAGCGGACCAGTGGAAGCGACCCGACGTGAGTTAGTTCTAACTAATCCTTTGATTCTCATGTGGATTAGTTCATTATGACAAGATTCGGTTTGAAATCAGAAATTGAATTACTTCGTATATTCACTCAATGTCCAGACCGAACTAAAAAGACTAAAAATAAAATAAAAGTTATAGTATGTATTTCACGGTCAAGCAATCTGGAGAGTCACATCTGTTATATTGTGCAGTTATGATGTAAATTATTAGCCGTCGGCCAACGGCCCTGGCTAATTCGTTGTTAGCCGGTAAATGCCTGTCTCTCAGCTGTGTTTACCCTGACATCTTCCGTAGGTATTTTCATTTTACCCACCGATACATCAGTAACTTTCCGTCTTCACAGGATGCTAATAATTGCCTCAAGTGAACAAATTTTTCAATTCCAAGCCTTAAAAAGTGTACCTATGAAAATAGGAGCAGGTGCGAAAGGATGAAGAAATTAATATATATCGACTTAGAACGGCTCGTCCGAACCGCCCAAACTCTGTTTGATAGGGTTTAAGGGATTCGCAGCTGAAAATGCGTTATCGAATTAAGCAGGAACTGGAAGTGTTTGGAGAATACGTAGGATCCATCGGAAATGCTTCCTTCCCATATTAAATATGTATACTGGTGTGTAAAACTTGAGCACGGAATAGGTGAAGTAACCTAACTTACCGATGGCTTTTTTAACCTTTTGACAGACCCTGTCAATCCCTTTTTGTACTGTACTGAAGCAGTTTTCTCTATGTGTGGGTAGGTTCTCTAGATCTGTGTAAACGATGTAAACAAGTTCACCATCAAATATGCAAACCTACGAGAACCACACGTTGGACGGTCGAGAATAGGTCGGGCGGAGAAAGGGGCACATTGAAGGAAGTGAGCCCTGGGGCGGCACGTATCCGTGAGACGTATTGACGAATCATTTAAGAGCGTTCGCAGATTTTGGAAAATAAATTACAAAGACGATCAAAAAATAGATTCTGTAGACGAAGGGAGTGTTACTAGCCGTGCGTGGAAAAGGCAAAAAAGAGTTTCATAACGTATCGAGAACAAGTGAATCGTTTCCGTTGCCAGTCTTTGTAACAGATGAACGGCAGGAATTTCAAGGCGTACCAGACCCTCCTAGTTTTCGAAGGTTTATCAAAATGAACACAACGACTGGTTCTTCTCCTTCTCATCGTGAATGTGGCCACCGAGCAGCGATTTATACATAGGTATGATTAATCACGATTTCTCCGGTCAGTTCCTTTAAGTATGTAACTTGTGCAGTTTCATAGGAGGAGACGGCGCAGTAATGGTACTCCCCATGCTCAGAGAAAGGGGTCGAATCCCGGATATAGGAACTGTAGTCAGACCAGCATGCGCAACTCAATATCATATTCAACTGCAGTTATGATTCTGAACTGAAGTGAAATGCGTGCTGCCTACAACAAGGGATCGTTTCACAACAGCGGTTTAAAGTGTACACCGAGATGTTTTTTCATGCTTTATTTTTCTCACTTAAAACCAGTCTTCAATACGTGAATTGAAATTCGACATATGTTCAAGTTTATAGTTTTGTTTAGCAAACGTTTCACAGATTTGAATCAGTTCGCTAGTAGGACTATAATCTTCACTAATCTTCCAGCTATCTGGCGTGAAGAAGAAATAACATTACTATAGTCCAGAAACCCAGCGAGAGCTGGCAAGCTGCTGGTAAGCATGCCATGAAAGGTTTAGTTGAAATGAAATGTGCCCCAGTAGCGCAACTACTGGTAGCGCATTTGTCCCGGTAGCGTGAGGTACGGGTTCGAGTCCCGTCTGGACGAGCAGTTTTGTTCACAACCCAGCATTCTTGTGAAACATTCGCAAGGCGAGCTGCTGCCAAAAACAGCAGTTAACAAACAAAAACAAGCACGAGGAACTGTTTCTGTCAACAAATCTGACTGTTACTGTGAAATGTTTCATCCTTTTCATCTTTCCTTATAGTTTCCCACGTCTACCTTCTACCTTCACGGTCCAGTAACTTTTTGGGGAAGTGAAAGAAAGTGCAGTAAGGAGAGGAGTTAGTGGGGGCAGAATTGATGTTACCACGTGGGTGACGTTAGGAGTAGCGTGGGAATGGAAGTAGGGCAAGGAGTTGAAGCAGAATCATACCTCTAAGAGACTTTATCCTATATGCCTTCGTCCATACATGCACTGACTGTGCCCCTTGGCTGTGTGCCTGACCAAGCATTTAATCCTGCATCGCCCTTAGAACAGTATGATGCGCGAGATGAAATGCCTAATTGTTATGGGGTGTGAAGCAGCTGGGACGCGCGTCGAGCACAATGTGCATGATAGTGGCGCCACTCACCAACACTCCATCACTTTAAGGGCTCTCGAAATTCATCGGAAAAGTTCCAGACGTTACACCCTGTTTTTTTTACCTCTCAAAATATGTCATTTCCCGCTGTCCTCGGCGAGTTTGCCGACGAGGTGTAGCAGTGCAGCTCGATCGGCTCACAGTGATCATCCGTTTGTCAAACATACACGACTAATCACCACCATAATCCCCTCACCATCCCACCTACTTACCCCTTCCCACGGAACTCCTCGGCGCCAATAGCGATGACGTTGTACTGTTTTTTTTACGAAAATTCATCTCGAAATAGGTTCCAACTCAGCCGCCAACCTGGCCTCCCACATACTTCCGTTCCCGTGTTCAAATAGAGTCTGCTTGTGTCTTTCGACCTGCGTAGAGAACAAAGAAATTATTTTACTTTTTTTCGAAGAGATTTTCACTTCTCTCATATAGACCAAATTTATGAACGGACCTGAAAGCTTTTAGTGGAATTTAACTGTTTGCGAGAGCTTTTTAAACT